GTTTGTGTCATGCACCGAAAATGATTAATAAGTGACAGAATCATTTAGCTTTCATAACGATTTTATTCCCTTTGAATCAGCTTTTTTCCCTTAGGAGCGAATTTTCGATTCGGCTTCGTAAATACGAAAGTTTTCTTGTGGTTACGGAAGTTTGTGGTGATCGTTCACGCATGGTCGCATTTAGGTCACTAAGCCAACAAACTGTTCATTGCGTTCCCCTGCGTGTTTTGTCCCTTCGAATAGGGGGAAAAGAAAGCGTATTTGTGAGGGTGTGAGGGAGGTTCAAGTTGGGTTGCTGCTTGAAGGAACTTCGTTCAACTGGCGCAGACATAACCCAGAATTTCGTAATCTGGTTCTTATCATTGGATTTTCTTGCACTAAGAATGTGTCATTTCTTGCAGTCTGGGAATTATTTCATAATTTTCCTCATTGCACATATGCATGTACTGAAAGTCGAAAAGCGCAGCTACTTCCGCATCGTTGCTGGTAAACAGTAAATACTGAATATCACGCTTGAGTCCGTGTCAAGGTACGGTGCTCACTCGTGTACTACGAATGAAGGACACGATCGACCATGTCTCATGGTAATTTAATCGCAAAGGTTAGTCGATGTTGAATTCTTTTCACGTTGTTGTATAACTTCCTCTTGATTTGCCGCCATCTTCCATTCTTCTTATGGTGGATAAATGCAGAAACGAAGCAGTTGCGGCCTGAACCGTAAGCATTTGGTACAGTTGCTATTCTGAAATACTTATTCATCGAAAGTACATGTATGAAACGCGTTGAAAGGAACGGGTTGGATAGTAATTTTGTGCTTTCAGTAGAATTCGTTAAAAAGTCATTCAATGTTGTTAATGAATCATGAATCGCTGATGGCTACTGACGTGTTGCCCATCGATTAGAAAAAAGTCCGAGAAAACGATTCTGTAAAGATGCAACGTGAATGCTGTCAGAGTCAGCGCCTGATGATGTGTTTCTTGCATTTCGGCAGCAATGGGTTAGAAGTGGCTTTGAATTTCGTATTTTGTCCGATTTGAATTTTAAAAATCTCTTGGCTACTAGTTGCCTTACGCAAGGAAGGTATTCGTGCCACTTTTCTTCAGTTCATCCGGCCGAGAAACTGTTATTTAATCGTTTACTTGAGAATAACTAGGTACGGCATGGGATCGTGGACTGACAGAAATTGCTTAATCGGTGGAACGTCGATCTCAGAACTCAGAATCCCAAGACTCGTGTCTCCTTCACAACGCTTCTCTTCCTTCCGAGGTAAACAACTGAGTACAATAATTGCTGTCGACTCTGTCCCTTTTAATAATAACGCACTCTTGTCTGATGGCATGAAAATAGAGATCAGTCCCCTCCCATTAAAACATAACAAGAAGGGTTAGAAATGTCCCCGCCACGAAAGTGTAAAGAATATCGAAATTTTAGCGGTTGCGAGCTGTAAAC